TTCTAGCCGATTTTCACCCAACCAGTTCTTCGACAATAATGAGCTCTTACCCCATTTGCCGACTGGTCTACTGCGCATCCAATTTTCAGAGGCCAAACTAGAATGGTCAAGCTGTATGTATCTATTGAACAGATATCTACATGTTTTCAGTTGTCATATTAGACAATAGTAGCTATACGGCTTGTTTCAACATTCAGTATCAAGATTTCAGGGACTTATATTTCAGGTCAAAATAAGACTTTTTCCCTATAAACCTGTGCGCAAATGCTTCATTACCGATCCACCAGAGCATTACAGTCCCTCAAGATTATTTCATCGTAGAAGGAGGAGAGTATTTCCACCACCTTGTATACAGAGTCATGGTTCGTTAGGTTTCCTATTTTTTAGGCGATGTGTGGAAACTCGATTTTGATTTTAGTTCAGTATTTCAAAATCTGCCAGCGGCGCACCAGAAAAAGTTTATCGAGCAAAAAAAGGTTTGAAAGGGTTATAACAAATCGTGAAACTTTGACGCTCTGTAGATCAGTAACGAAGCGTTTGCGGACACATGTATATAGGAAAAAGACATATTTTGACTTGAAATATAGGCTCCTGAAATCTCGTTACTGAATTTTGAAACAGCCTGTATGATATATAGACAGTTCCAAGTTCCATCTTGTCTTATATGTGGTCTCAAGATGGATTCATCCACGACTCAACTCGGTACTAACTCAGGAATGATGGGTGACAATTGGTTAACTTCAGATATTTATTCTGGATTCACCAAGAATCATCTAATCTGCTTTTTGAGTTAGGGCCAAGTTGAGTATTAGATAGATTCACATATATACATGTTTGCAAATGTCTGACAAGACAGTAGCATGTGTCCATAGAGTCTTGCACGAATTCGAATAAAATAGGTAACCGCAGAACATTGAACTATGACACTTGATCCACGTACTTGGTGAATCGTTCACTGAAGATTCGAATAGTGAGTAAAAAGTGAGATCATTACCTAAATGAATTATCCTGTACTATTTATATGAAACAAGTATGGAATATGCACAAGTGTTTCGGCGGATTTTTCTTAAAAAATCTCCATCAGAACTTCGAAAGATGTACAAGACTATATTGACTTGCGGAACATACTCGAATTAATGTTATTTAGGCAATTTGCATACGTTTGTAACACCCTGTATTGAAATTATTCAGATTCTTTTTCTCAATTGTACAGGAGACCAAATTATTCATTATTCGTACCTAGTTGAAGGTTATCCAATTACAATTTGTCGTTTTTGATGTAGGTTTGGATGAAACAGAAATTCAAGAATGAATGCACCGAAGGCGATTCGAAATACAAGGCGTATTGTAGCGTATTAACTTTTTTTCAAATGGTGACATTCATTATATCATCAAGAACAAGGGAAGAATGTCGAAGATCACCAAAAATCTACAAGTCTTTTGATAAAACATCTGATAATTTGCACAATGGTTCAAGTATCATCAATCATATTTTTATCATCTGACAAGTATGCCTAATAGAAATGCATTTTCGTTGTTCAAGTCGAATAATGTTGGACTTTTTTTCTGTATCTCTCATAGTCCTTGAAAAACCTTTGAAAACACTAAGTTTGGTCTACTCTATATGTACAGTGCATTCTATTTTTGTTGAGACTTCTAGGTTTCTCGGTTGTTCTAAGAAGATATAACGTTCGGTTCTGACGTTCCTGTTCTTCATGAAACTTGAGATGACCTGATCAGAATTTGCATAACTGTTGTCATTCATGAGATACTGTGTGATTTTGAAAATTTATACTTTTTAAGGACCCGTTCTATATCTATGGAATTGAACACCTTGTATATATTATTCCGTTGAATATGTTATATTCTCCCTTTTGAATGATGAATAATACTTTATTCATATAGGATTTCCAGAAATATTATTATTTCTAATAATTTCGTAGGTATATGTGGAAGGTGTCCAATTAGCATGAATGTCGAAATCTCCCTGTATACAGGGTGTTTTCTAACTACGGTACGAAACTTCGGGGGTGATTCATTTGGTCATTTTAAGAAGAAAAATTCTATACAAACGTATGTGAAGAGTTGCTTCATTTCTGGGATATAGATCGTTGAAGTTTATAAAACGATATTTATAAAATAGCATGAATATGATCGAACTGAATTGGTGCACTTATTTGAAGTAATAAGGCACTTAAGTAGCCCAAGATAAATTGAAATTATTAGTTCCAGTGACGTCTCAGAGGACTTCACAGCCAATAATATCGATGAAAAAGGTACACCACCAACTTTTGTTTGTATTTCTAATATTTTTCAAATTGTGCAATTGAAAACTTCTTGGACTCCTTTGTTGTCTTCATCTCTAGCTATGAATTCAACAAAAATGATTTGAAGCCACCCTATTTGCATATCATAAACATGGAAAAACATTGATTTCTCATTAATAGTGCAAAAACATTCCGCCCATTTGTATATCAAACTTAGGACATACTTTTTCAGCACTATTTCTATTTCAAGCTAGTGATTGAATTTGACTCAATCAGTTCAGGGGCGTTTGGGAAGGCATTTGAGTTAAAATCTGTAATGCCCTGTATCTCAGAAACCAAGCAACTCCGGTTATATTATGATAGGAACTTTTTTCCTTGAAACGACCTGACGAATCACCCTCTGAAGTTTGGTGCCATGGTAATGGAATTCCCTGTATACCTTATAAACAGAGTCATGCAAAATCTGATTAGGTCATCTTGAGTTTCACAAAAAAATAGGACCGGAACGTGGAAATAATATGGCTCTATCTTCAATAACAGCCGAGAAACTGGGCAGTATCAGCTGAAATGGAATACATTGCGTATACAGTATGACAAATTTTTTATACTTCCGGAGATAGCAAGTTGCGATTTTCACTCTACTGTCCTGCTTTCTTGTGAAACGACATATTGATACAGAGAAACATTGAAAATTCTCATATTTATGGAACATTTCTGATCTCAGTTATCTAGAAGCAAGATACAAACGGTGAATTTCAACGTTAAATACAGTGGCGTGCTCGATTCACTTCAATAAGCGTTCATTTTCAAATAATGGAGATACAATTTGATATTGTTTTTTCAGGTGGTAGACTCTGTATATCTTCCTCCAGTTCGATATAGACTCCTTCAAATTGATCGAAAATATATTCAGTAGACGTTGCTATACATTTTCAATGCTTTTATTTTACTCAGAACAGTGTGAAAACTGCAACTCTCTATCTCAACAACTGTGTGATATCAGTAGGTATCGAGTATTCGGCTATGCGTAATATTCTAACGCCAATATCCGTGGCATTCCTCATCCATTCCTCAAGATAAAACACGGTTATTGCATGCTTACAGATAAAAACTTCTTTTCCTCAGGTACACACATCTTCCATAATGATAATGATCATAATAATAACAATAATAATAATAGTCCAGTCATTAGAGGATTTTAGGATACAAAACGTTAGGGAGAGATGAAACTTGGCAGGATCGTGGACTTGGTGATCCTGATTATAAACCTAAATTAATTTGCGATCTCGAGCGACCGCCGCTCGTACCACCATTTTGGAAAAATGGCGCCCAGAATCAGTTTCTGGCGTATGATTCCGTTTCTATAGGGTCTAGAGGAAAAGTATATCATTATAATATCGAAAAATTTCTCCAAGATAACTACGACTACGCGATTTTGTCGTTGAAACGATAGTTTCCCAGTAACAGTGCTGAGAAGTAAGTGAAAATTCAGAAGTCACATAAAAGAAATTGATTTTATAATATTTTTTCACATCATCTAAGTACGAATTAATAGGTTTGTGGTATACTCATAAGTAATTTAGAAAAATTCAATGAATATTTGGAATATATCCTCTTGCTCTTTCTGATTTTTTTCCTCCTTATCTCTTTGAACGCATATGAACGCATATATAACTATCTAAACTCTAGGAATGAACCAATAATAGATCCATTTGGGGTCGCGTTGGGAGTGCTATTTGTTCCACTCTCATGGAATAATGCCTAACCTAACCTACGTACAGTCGTCTTCAGAGATCATGTCGCACATCACCGCTCATACCGTCCAACAGCGACATGTTAACTGAAGACGAGTGTACATGCTCAGAGAACTAAATTAAACAGAGAAGTACTCAATCTTAGAGAGATCATAGGGTTTCGCAAACAAACAAGTAAACAAAAGTACTGAATCTAAACTTGAAAGGGCGACGCTGAGTATTTTCAAAATGACGTGGTGAGTATGTAACAATATTACCATTGTGAATCGAAATTTCTTACATATGCTGGTATTTTTCAATCGGAACACCCTGTATTTTATTTCCCTAAACCGTATAGTAGAGTTATAATTTGTCAGGTTTTGGAAAATATAGATTTCTATGTATAATCTGAGGCAGGTGTAGAATGCCAGACGACAATGCTGCAATTTCTGGCGCTCTACAGGTGCCTTATAGTCTATATTTTTCGAAAACTGACAAAGATAACCTCAATGAAGTATATATATTTGAAATCAGAAGAAAGAGCTCTATCGATTAAGAAAATGAAATACCTTTCGAAAGATATCAGTTTATTTTAATTTTCTACTAATAGATACTGAATGCCCATAAAAATACTTCATTCTTGCCCACAAAACGTTTTTGTGAAATATAAACAATCACCCTGTACATTTGCAAAGAGTTCTCATCGTGCAAAATACCAACGAACACGATAATTCGTAGATGGTGCGAAAAATCGGATGTAACTCAGAAGAAGAAATTGTATGGACGATTTTGTGTAGCAACGAGATATCAATTTTTTATTGGGAAACTTTTTCTCTAGAACCAACAGAGATGTAGTTATACATCAAAAATTGATTTCAGGCGCCATTTTTCCAAGATGGCGACACCATGTTTCATCTTACCATAACCCCTTGAACGAAAACATCCCTCCTATATGTCTCTAATGATTGGACTATGAGTATTGAAGATGAGAACAACTTATTCAGACGGTAATCTCATCTGTGAATCTACTCTTATCGTCCAAATTGATAACAATTGAATGCGTCCTGGCATGGCCGGACATCAGATAACGCCCATTGCTGTCCGTCGCCGACGCTCTCGATTCCTTGCCCTTGCCGTCCTTGGGCGAGGACGCATCGGGTTCGTCCGCGGACTTTCTCGGCTCTTCGCCGGGCTTCTTCGGTTCTTCGCCAGGCTTTTTCGGCTCGCCGGCCAGCCGACCAGGCAAGAGGCCAGGATCGCGACGCGGCCCCGCCGCGGTCTCGTCTTCAGGACGGTCGGATACGGCGAACGAGACGCTGGGTCTCTTCGTTTTGACGGGGGACGAGTCCTCGACGGGGTCACCTGGAAAGTAAGATAAAATAAGAATTTTATTCACAGAGATTCCGATCCATCCGAACAAACATACTCACATACATTGCAAGTTCAATAGTAGCTTTTAAATAATAATTGATTAATTGGATGATAATATAATGTTGTACCACTCCAATTAACGTGCAACATACCTATGATATGATAGAAACAAAAATGAATAAGTACTTTTCTATCACTGACAAATAGTGCCAGCAGGATGCCATCGATAAAATATATGAGCCATATTGAATCGCCAGCTATCCGGCCGGTTATTTCTACCTCATATTGTGTATATCACTTCCATCAACTGCTATCATCTAATGCTATAATATGATCTTTTGTATACAGTGATATCTCACAGTTTGGAACATATTGGCAAGGCTTAATCATTAGAGTGATGAATCAGTTTCATGTTACGTGACCAATGATGGTGACAAAATAAAATGTCTCAATGGGTGAATCGAGTTGTTCTTCCGCCTAAATCATTTGTTAGAAACACTCCAGAGATACCCACCAAATTACATTAATCACTAGTATTATATTATCATTATTATTATATATGTTGTGTGATTCAGTACCATCACCCCGTATTATGTTTAGAAATATCGACGCTTGCTGGTTTTATGACTAAGAGATATTGAATGCATGATTGAGGAGTTACATAAGCTAGATAAGAGAGGGTGACACCTCACTGTTACATTTTGGGTTGTACCTAACAGTTTTCCCAAATGTTACTTACCTTATGGTGGGCACTTTATACATGAATAATTCTGATTTTCTCCAAATATACTGATTCGATCTCACCCAATCTGTCGGTATGAAGAATGAATGAATGGGCCACTGAGTTTTTATATATACTTTATTCCATCACACCACACCACAAAAGTAAGATTTTTCAAATTAATCGCTGAAAATAGGCTTATTTGTTTGAATTTCAAAAAAGTTCAAGGAAAAAAGTTGTTTCTATTTCAATTTTACACATGCGTCTCGAATTTGAAACGTTCTATTGCAACTTTAGGTTTTTGATATTTTTTCACTTTCTACGAAATGTCTCTATAGTATTGATAAAAATTAACAATGACAATACTGTTTCATACCAGAAACTTTATCATGCTACTAACTTTCAACTACTAATTATCGACAGAAATATGACTTTCTTAAAAAAATAACAGAAAATACTGATCCCAGCGAGCACAAACATCCCAGATGGGATGTTTTGGGATGTTTTGAAAATGTTGGCATGAAGATGTTATTTTGAGACGTAATATGCACTGACCAAAGAGGTTTTTGAAGGATATTGAAGTATTGCTTTTGTTCTCCTGTGGCATTTCTTTGTTTGCCTACTGAGAGGTATCCCTGGGATGTGTTGGGATGTTTTAGAAATGTAGGCATGAGGATGTTTTTTTGAGGTGTAATATGCACTTCCCAAAGAGGTCTTAGAAGGATATTGAAAGTATTTTTTTTTCTTTTGTGCCCTTTCTTTGTTTGCCCCACCACAACGTCTCATGATTACGTCACAATACGATGAATTCTGATTTGTTTTCGATTTTGTTCTTCTTGTTCGCAATTGGCATTCGCGTTTGCAGCGTGTCACGCTTACATCACGCTGCTAACGAACAGGAAGGAATTTGGTGAAGTTTATTGTGTTAGAAGACTTATTTAGTTTGTAATAATGACCATCAGATGCAAGATGTGTTGTTCGGTGCCTCAGTGTAATCAATATATAAAAGTACGAATTTATCAATACACATCAGCTTCTCCGCAGTTGCAAAATTATGCATTCCAATTATATGTCTGTGTGTAGTAAGCACTACTCAGAAACCGATTAAGAAGGTAATTTCATATCAAGAAAATATTTTTATGTTCAATCTATTTTTAATGCATTTTTTCATTCAAGGAAAATGGAATCCTAATGCAAAAGTTCATTTTGACAAAACACTTCAGAAAAGTACCTCAAAAATGTTTTTTTTTACAGCGAGACGCGTTGAAAATGTTTGGTTGTGTCCATGAAAAGGCTTTAAAAAGAACTAGGGGGAAGGTAGTTTTGTGACATATCAAGGACATCTCGATAATTGCCGCCTGCGGCGGACATTGGCTGTTCTATAATAGTTCTATTCATGTGTGAACAGAAAATCGCAGTGGAGGTTCAATGTCTCGAAATCTCATACTTTTAACATCTCTGAGATGTTTTTGTGCTCGCTGGGCGATCTTCGCTTCATATTTCTGTTATGTTTGATGCAAAGTTGATGTATCGTCTATCATTCATGAGGGAAATTCATTTAGATCAATTTTTTCAGTATCAAAATGATACCACATCCATCTATCAAAATATCATCAAATTTCTTCACGTATCTAACCGAAGTTTAGGACAGTTTTGTCGAAATTACAATTATAAGAATTCAAGAAATATAAGAACTGAAAGTTGCAATTGAATTTTCAAATTCGAGACACAATGGGTAATTGCTATAGAAACAACTTTTTTCAAATCAAAATAAATAAGCATATTTTTAGCGATAAATTAGAAAAAAAATAACTTTAGACATTCAGCTAAAGTCACGTAGCCCGACCGAGTAGGCCATTTTTCATTTTTTTTAAACAAAACTTAACGCTCAAGTCGAATTTCAGAATAAATTATGATTGAGAGATTTTGCCATATGATGCAAACTTTATGAAAGACACTGTATAAATAGGTGTATACAGGGTGGCCTGCAGATTAATGTGAGGAGCTGATACACTCACTACACACTTATAAATTCTCACGGTTTTCGAGATATTCACCATTTTGAGATTTTTAGATTCGAGTCCTATATACGTGTTCAACTGTGAAATCGAGAAAATAATGAACATGCAAACACTGCAACATCTGACTCGAAAATAATCATCATACCCTGAAGATTGAACACTTTATGTTTGAAAGGGTATAAATGGCAAACAGTCGGATCGGAAAATGGCCTCCGTTTCATTTCAATTTCCGATCATATCTGTGTTTTATGTCTTGGTGGAATGAGAGGCTGAGAAAGTAAACACCCTTTCGGATTATCTGCATGGATGCCACACCCCAATACGCTTCCAGAAAATAGGATATGTCATCAACAGACTTTGAAAGTGAAAACCAGTGTGGATTTATAATAATGAGGGACATTGCTAACAGGTTCGAATATCGAGTCATATCGTGGATACTGATGATCGAGAAAAAATAGTTGGAATCATCAACTACTGATAGCAATAATTGTCCTCAATTATCTTGTACCCTGCTCACCAGTAGATCGTGGCATATTATATCAATGAAAAGCTACCAGGTATAGCCGCGTGGTAAAAGCGTTAGTATTCTAATCACGATGGCTTGCCGTTCGTTGGTTCAAATCAACGACTAGAAATATTTCTGATGGCCCAAGAAAGTGTTTAACCTTCGATAGATTTCTGAATTGAATAGGTGCTAGCATAGTTCCCTTCTCACTGTAATCAAGTCCATTATTCCAAAAAATTAATAATTCTGTGAAACAACACTTATATGAGAATGAAATAACGCTCATATAGGAGTCAAATGATTAGCATATCAATATTGAATGGTGATATTATAAAAATGAAATAATACTCATATCAATATAATTTGCTTTCAATTTAATAGTCAAATGATTTTGAATTCAGTATTAAGTCGATTTTTTTATTGAAACTACAGGGCATCACAAGGGCGAGATACTCAGTACACAATATCTCAATTTGCCTACGATGAAAATGCTTCCAATTTGAAGTATTTGTTCATCTTGTCACTTGTCACTTGGATTATTAGTTAACATAGTTGCCAAAAATGTACACGGTGGCGTCAGTGAATAAGGGTTAACGAATCACGGAACGAAAACGAAAAACCTTTCGTCTGATGAATTGTTGGCTAGAATTTTTATGAATTTTGAAGCAGCAAATAACAATTATACGAATCAAATACATACATATACGCCGTGTCCAAGATAAGGATACGAAGACATCCTCATCTTGGACATATTGTATACGCAATAGAATTTATCACCGATATAACTGTGTAAATCCTAGCTATTATACTGATGAATAGTGAGGTAGTTTGAAAATACAAAATTTTATCCAAATTGGAAGAATTTCCGATACTTTACCGATTTGTCGTGAAAACACTAAAACGCCCTGATGCAGTTCATCTTCCTGTAGTTCCTCAACGAATCCTATACTTGGGGGGTATATGAACGAATATGTCCCTAAAATTTCTAGAAGAACTTTCAACCACTTCACTTTTTCGAAAAAAAGAAAAAAAAATTATCACCCTGCAAGAAGCGTTCACGAGCTGCTGCAGGCTTGAGAGATGACTCATTGTGGTAAACGAGTATGACAAAGATGGTAAATGAAGACGTGAAATGCCATCTCTTAGGAATCAAATGATTATCTTCTAAATTCCATCTTTTAACAATAATCTTGTTCCATTTCAAATCTAAGGTAACATTTTTGAAACAAAAAGGGTGATTTGAAAAGGTGACCTGTATCACGTTGCAAACGTTGGCTTTTCACGTTCATCAGATGACATTTCCTATCTAAAATGTTTCATTTAGCAGTTATTGGATGTTTTTGAATAGAGAATTGTATAACTGGATTTTTCTCGGTGCGTCATTTCTTGCTCGCACAACTCTCTTGAAGACTTCTGAGGGTTACTCTTAAAGGGGCCACCGAATGACGGATAAAAAAATATCACAATTTCATTCAACCCTCACTTCGGGTTTTCAAATTGCACCCCCTGATGCTGTTTTCAGTTCACCAATAAAATTTATTTCGGAATCTCCATTGAAACGATATTATCATGATATTTCTGGAGGGTGTATTCAAGAGTACTGAAAAGAATTGATAACTTTTGTATAATTATTCGAATTATGAGTCATGAATTCTATGTGAAATATCTAATATTATAATTGAATTCAAAGCTGAGTTCTATAGTGAATTGTCCTAAACAGGCGAAACCTTAAAATGGTAGTGGG